AACATACGGGTAACAGACAGTTGTTAATTTATTTATCAAAACTATATGTGATTATCTATATGATCAAAACATAACAAATAGATAATAAAAAAGTTACGTGGCGCCATTCAACATTTGAAAGTGACAGTGCGGTACATCCGGCACGTTCCGGAACTAAAGAATGTTTCTTGATCAACTGGATGGGTTACATCATCGACTTGCTACAATTGTTACATCATCGACTTGCTAAAATTGTCACATCAATACATTCTCAATTAATTATCACACAATCTTGCTATTCTAGCAGAAAAACTTAAAGTATACGTGGATACTACAATCTACCTTAGGGCTATAAACAATAAACATAATTATGTTTCTGCTCTTTCTCATCTCCATCATGCTTTGGCAGAAATTTTGTAAACACTGAAGTGCCCTCGGCAGATAATTTTAAAGTATTTCCTTATATATTAGCGATACTGATATATGTCGATTTGTCGCAAATGTGTATTCAAATTACCTTAAATTTGATCTCCTATGTACTACTATGCCATTTAATCTGTGTGGCTCATTTGAAATCATTTATATAAAATATTGATTTAATTTTTTATTTTATTCTTTGTTATGTTAGGTTTATCATATTCATCTCCTCTTTCTGCTTCATCATCAATATCATTTCAGCCTATATGAGTCCACAGGTGAACATATGCTTCCCCCACAGGCCGGCACGAATCACGATCCTGAGCCACGCGATGCGTGAGTACTGCAGATTGGCAGACTTCACATATCTTGGAAATATTTTTTCTGCTATTATTTTGAAAATTAAAATTTCTTACCGGTGTTTCCCTTCACCATTGAGCACGTGATAAATCAGCACTTAATCTTATCTTTCTTGTAGGTGACACCTTAATAATCACTATGAGAGTTTTTGTATATACTTAATGCGAAAAATAAGTGCATTGCTTACCCGTACATCTGTACGTCTTCAATTCTGTAACATAGCGTCTTTTTTTATGTGAAAAGTTAGCCAAACGAGCAGAAGGTTCACCTGATGGTAAGTGAATACCGCCGTCCATGAACATCTGCTATACCCGAGGTTTACAGATGCGTTGAGGGTACAAAAGGTTATCACTTTTGAAAATTGGGCTCCGGCTACCTCACTCACCAGACGAAACGCAAAAGTATTTGTCATACTTTCACTTTAAGCTGGTCTTCTGTGAGGTCGTGGTATTTACCCGGACGGGCCTGTCCATTCGTGCAATAGCCGAGGCTGCTGCGTGGCCCTACCTACTGTCTGCCATCTATCATACTATTTGTGAAAAATTATCTTGTTTAAATTTCCTACCTTATATAGCAGATCATTAATATAAATTCTTAAATAATTTTAACCCATAACGTGGAGCTTAGAGTCTTTTACGTAGCGGCAGCGTTGACGGCTTCATCAGAAGAGATCCGCGGCTAGGCGACCCACGGATTCAGCAAAAAAAAAAATGGGTTTGTAGCACGACGACAACACGATGATGCCGCCCTCTCTACCGCAACTCCGACCCCTGTAAACGAGAGATGGAAAATCGAATATTAGTTCAAAACTCGGCTTTGACCGCAATTGATGGTTAAATCTATCCTGAAGAAGTAATCCGATCGAAATTGCGAAATTACGGAACATTATGCCCGAAACTACTATCAGTATTTACGAAAGTAGTCAATTTACAAAAAAATATATAAGAAAAGTCACGTATTGTATGTACTTAGTTAATTGAGTACCGCTAGTTACTATTGCGCGCGGACTTGCTTTTGAATAAGAATACTAACACAATAAAAAAGTCGTGCGATTCAAAAGCAGCCTGCCACAGGCAGATATCCTAAGTAGACTGCGAATTTTAGACCTCGCATTCGCCAGAGAACGCCCTGTGCCTGCTGTAAATTAGCGTATGGGGTGTGTTCCTCCCTATGGAAGTTAAGTTATAAGGAGTAGTCTTAATGTATAGGAAAGTTTTATAATAGAGAACATATCTTGATGGCGTTTAGTTGTAGCCTAATTTCAACATTGCAAAAATAGGGCCAAAATAGAAAAAACTGCACAAAAATAAATGGAAATAGATAGATATTCGCTTATTGAAAGTTTACCAGCTCTTGAATAATAACAAAATTACGAAAAAATATACTTTTACAAAGTTAATTTTTTATATAATAAGCTTGGCGTTTTTAAAATATATTTTTAAATTTTAGTTTGGTAACTGCATACATTTAATTTTCAGCTAAAACGCATATTACATATTACTCGTTTTTCTGTACAATATAGGATACCGTAATTAAGTAGTGACGGCTGTTATTCAAGGGAGCTCTATCAAGTTTTATAATTTGTGACACTAAACTAAAATGTACGAATACGCCTGGAAATGTTATACTTTATTGTTAGGAGCTCACGAATATTGTCGTTTCTTGGCTCATCATACGACAGACGATAAATAAAATAAATCGGGTAAATTATAAGAAATTCGAAATCTGGCTTTGTATAAAAAGGATATGAATAATTTGAACCGATAAAATTGGATCAATGGGTATAATGGATACATATGGAAATCAACAGATTATCAAACATTATGATAAAAGTGTTTTTTAATGTTATTCTCCACGAATATCTTATTTCTGAATGTATTTATTATAATAAATAAAATTAATACTTTTTTTCCGAATCAAATACCGAATATTATACAAAACTTATTCGATTAGAACTTATTTTATCTCTAGTCCTGTCAAATTAATTGTGACCGGGTATACTACAGTCTACACGGACTATAGGGATGTTATTATGGTGTCGTTGAGCTTATAATTAATTTTTATTTATTTAGGTTTATTAGAAATAATACGCTGAATTAAGTAAAACTGTGTTTTTAATTTTTTAAACCGTGCAATTCCCGATGACAAACGGGTTTGATTCTGATTATGAAATATGAAGCGTGTAAAAAAGAACTCTCTTTCGGTTTCGATGGAAATTTTTTTTTAATATTACTGAAAACTTGAAGTTCCTCGTATATAGAGCAGTATGGATTCCGTCCGTATCCGAAATTATTTCAAACTTTTATAGTGGATTCGGTAAGGTTACTGATGGATTTTCATTTCGGTTAGAGCTTCAAAAAATCTTTGATAATACCTAATGGTATGGTCAATTATGGCAGAAATATAAACTTAATATGCATAAGTATATTATATTGCTTTTGCCGTATTTCTACGAAATTCACCTACAAGTAAGTTAAACTATTTCAATGAACTTTTATTTGTAGGAAAAACAGTAACCTTATCATCACTACATAGTATGAAACAAAGTCGTCCCGCTGTCGGTCTGTCCCTAAGTATGCTTATATTTTTAAAACTACGCAACGGATTTTGATGATATTTTTATTTATTATAGATAGAGTGATTCAAGAGGAAGGTTTATATGTATAATACATTAAATCCGTGCGAAGCCGGGGCGGGTCGCTAGCATTAAATAAATTGCCACTTTAGTTATGTATTATAAATATAATTATACATTACACAATATGACCTTTCATTTTATAACTTACGTATGCGGTACGATTGTCCTGGAACTCGCTTTTAATTTTACATACTCGAGCAACCTGAGTACAATATGTGGAGTCGGCTAATCCGCGTGGTAAATTATGCTTTAATACCCACTGTACCAAACACTGGTACATATATAGGCAACAGCCTAAACAACTTAGATAACTTATTTCTTATCGTATTGAAAATTATTTTTATTTACTTCCGAATATAAACATTTTATGTATGTTATGTATATAAATTAATTTTGGTAAAATAAGTGAGTAGAGGCTTCGCCCAATTTCCTTCAATCATCTGCATCCCTCGCCTATCTCATCTAACTCTCTCTTGTAGTCTTCTGACTTTTCTTTTGCCTACCATACTACATAATTTCTTCAATAAACTGTGACTTAAAAAAACATTTCCTAAAATCTTTATATTAATTTAAAGATTTAATCGTGTTTCATTTTCATTCTTTTTACTCTATGTAGGTATGCATATGCATAACGCCTATAATGTCCTCATTCATCACATCTGTCATATTAGGGATGGGCAAATGGAAAAAAAATATCGATATTTATCGTATCGATGTTTTTCAAATATATAGATATATATCACCCAAGAAATATTGATATTTCGATACATCGATATTTTTTGCCCAATTTGCAATTATTTATAAAAATTGCCTAAATTATCGAAATTTTAAAGCAAATACACATCTGGCTGTTTCAACATAAGTTTTATTATTTAAAAAACAAAATTCAAATTGCTTGACATAAAAAAAAAGAAACAAAAAAAAAAAAAACATTATTAAAGAACTTCCATACAGCAGACATGACGTTTAACATAAATACAATTCACACAATAAAAATAACAATGAGCCACGCTTTTACTCGTGACAACACAACAAAACAACGTTCGTCGTACCAACACTCTAAAATACAATACAGTCAGTCCAGTGCAGTGATACCAACCACACCAACAAGCAATGTCATTGTCATAGACAAGCAAGTCATAGAGAGTAATTTTTGTTTGTGTTTGAAGCAAAGAAACTAAACCCATACAGCCTACTGCATATTTTCTAAATTTAAGAAATCGGATTGGTCAAAATCATGATGTGACGCGTGAGCAGACAGCAGAGCTTTAAAAATATATCGATTTTGATATCTGAAAATAAATATCGAAAATTGATATATCGCGGGAAGAAATATCGCTAATTAGTATTGATATTTTTTTGAAAAAATATCGATATTTTGATATATCGATATTTTTACCCATCTCTATGTCATATCATAGATTAAGAATTTCATGTGTTGTTTTATATTTTTTTATTCTCTGATTATTGTTTAAAATTTTTCTCGACGCCTTGTTCTTGTTATCAATGTAAAACTTATAACTTATTGTCTGCATCGTTAAAAAGAAATTTTGGATACGTAAATGAGACGGGGTTCAGATGCGATGTTATAGTTAGTCTCGTAAAAATGGACACTGCCAGTTCACCTGTAAAAAAGGTTAAAAGCCCAGCTCTTGATAATATTAATACCAAAACATCGGTCATGTAAGTATAATTGGTTTATCTACAATCAACAGCCATTGAACTTTCAAGTATAATGATAATAAAAAATAACTTTTCCTGAATTACAGATGTTTAAAGGTCCCTGAAGGCTTATTTGATGCAATAACAGCTAAGAAGCATTTTACCAAATTTGGTCGAGTTCAAAAAATAAAACTTTTTCCAAAACGACAGATGTGCATAATTGAATATGATCAACCCCTAAGTGCAGAGCGGGCAGTTTTGAATGCTGGAGCATTTGATGGGTTTATGTTCGATGTTACTCGTACAAAGGGTCAAATGTATGTTTTTTTATAAGTAGGCTGATTTAAATACATAATGCAAACATAATATCGAAATTATAATAGTGCAAACATGAAAGCAAACAATGTTTTAAGCTTTATACATGTATAAAATATATAATTGTAATAATTGACAGTAAGGATTGATAGAGTATATTTTGCGAACAGAAGGCGTAAGAGTAGGAAAGATGATGATCCTGATTGGGTACCGGACTCAGATGTTGAAGAGGAACTTTCAGCTATGAGAGGAGCTCCAACTTACCGAGTACCTCGTCAAAAAGGTAAAAATGAAACTTTTTTTATTCCTCATATATTGATATATAAGAAAATTGTAAAAATTAACAAACTATCAATAAAATTTATTTCCATCAATTAATTATGTAGTTATGGAGGTTGATCCAGGAGAAAGGAAACTGAAACTCCCCACAAAAGTAACAACATTATTGCCCAAAAGAAAACCGGTGTCAACAATAACAAGAATAAAACAGACAGTGTAAGATTAATCTATTTATATTATTACTATTTATTAATTCTTTATTAACATGTTTCAATTATAGTGCAAATAATGATATTGCAAAATGTTGTTAAAAGTATATTTATTTGAAAAGAATTCTGTGTGTTACAATAATGTTCAATTAATATTTTGTACAAAGGTGGAGTTACTGCATAGAGTTCCAGATGTAAAGGGAGGGTAAATTATTTAGAGACTAAAGACAATTTAATATTTACAATTTTATTGAGCACATCACATTTTGAGTATGTGCCTGCAAGCTTTATTTTTTAATACAAATAACTATTAGCCATTTCAAGTTTGAGGTAACATATTCCACAGAAGAATAGACTTGATGATGATACACCCTAATATTGCAGGACTCCACGTACAGCTACAGGAGAATCCTCTTCAGTCACTGTGGCATCCACTAGTTTAAGTACATCAGAGGCAGCTGCAGAACTATATCAACTTCGCAGTAGGGTCTCTCTGACTCCAGATGAGCAATGGCGTACATTAGATGCTCGAGACAGGTCAGCTGTTTGAAAATATTTTTAACAACCCCATACATACCCTCAACTAAAATTAGAAAAAGTAGCAGATTTTTTAAAATAGATGTGTAAAATTTATTGTGTAGTTTTTGTGACACTATCACTGCATATTTGCTAAACTATTTATTTAACCTCAATGAGAGACAATGGCCATTTCTGTACCTCTATAAGCTAGAGACTAGGGTTAGTGAGAACCTCCATAAGCAAAAAAGTGATCACGGTCCCTTGAACTCTCCTTATCCTGGTTAGTCTGTACATTATTTTATGGCATACAAGTTGGTGGTTCACCTGATGTTAAGTGATAATCACCACCCATGGACGTTTGCAACATCAATAAGGTTGCACATGCGATGCCACCTTTTAATTAAGTGGGCCTCAGATCCCTCACTCACCAGACAAAACGCAGAAGTATGTATGACACTTCCACTTTACACTGGTCTTTTGTGAGGTCATGGTACTCACCCGGATAGACCTGCCCATTCATGTAAGAGCGAGTACTATAACATGGTCTTACCACAGTAATTAAATATTTGTAAATTATTAAAATTCATATCTAAAAATGACATTGCCCCTGTAATATTCCATGTTTGAAATTTGTGTTACATGTCAATTTATTAAAATAAAAAACTTCTTGTTAATATTGGTTTTCAGAATCTTACGTGCCTGGGGCGGTGCAGGTTCCAGGGTAAAGGTTGGAGGTGCTACTATTGGCACTTGCCCAGACATGTGTCCTGAAAAAGAATTATTACACCGTCAGGCTGAACATCAGGTAAACACTCCTATCATAATGATGACAATACATAATTTACATGATGGTAGCCAAAAGTAACATTAAACATTAACATGAACTTGAGAAAACCCAATGGCACAAAACAATTTAGTACAAATCAATAATATTTTGGCAGCAAGCTTCCTTGCCAATTTATCTGGTGGTATTGGTGTAAGAAAAGTTTCTAGTGTCGCTATACCTGCTTCTCTTCCTTACATTATGCATGTAATAATGCATGATAATAAAATGTAATAAACTCCTAAGGAAGCAAGGATATCTTTTCTGTCTATATATTAGGATATAGATTTAGCATTTTTATTTATATATTTATTCTTTATGGAAAACACCTCGAAAAGGGTTACAAAGGGCGGACTTAATGCCTATTTCTAGGTGTCTCATCTCAAGAATCGAGTTATTGGCTTCATGCCTTAACATCAAGTAACTTGGGCATATTATTGGATGATGAAAGCCAAAATTTTCCGACATCAGTATGCTCATGTCAGGTGGTAAATAGTAGTGTTTGCATCCTTTAATTCCTTCTATTTTAGGGCCCTATGGCATTTTCCGTCACCATGTGAAAGAGGCTTAACTTTGATCCATTGGGACAGGCACAGCCCAAACTACTTGTGTAGGCACATGAGCGGCGCCTCTAATCTAAGAGGTAATTTAGTCAGGGCCTTTGTGTAAATTATGTATTTTTGACATTTGCTGTAGAAACTTTAGGTCTGTGGGGTTTTGCATCTCAAAATTTTTGAATAGAATTATGTCCTCGACTAATTTTGTGGCTTTATGATAACACAGTCAGTTTTGTGAATCTAAGGAAATGAAAATATCGTTCTTGGCACCTTGCTGCTTGAGCTAGGCTTATAAGACAGCTTGTTATACAGCGTGTCGTTACCATCGCGACAATAAATGAACACACGTCTAACGCTACTTGCCAATAATCATAAAAAAATATTAACGTTAAACAAAATCCATAATTAAAAAAAAATATTTTACAAATGAACTAATTAAGTAAAAAAGAAACAAAATTTGTAACATAACAACGATGGTTTTAAATATTTTTATTTTTCAAAGATTATTTGTATTCTTTTGAATTTTATTATTATATTTTGTGTAATAATAATGTAGTAAATTAATATTTTAATCTATATTACTAAATAACCCAGAGCCTAGTGTACTCACTAGGCTCTGGGATTTGGGCTCCAGTTATAACTGCAAATATTGTCCATACTTCAGGTGATGACATTGGAAACAATACCAGATTCTGATGGCCAGCTGGAACCTTGGCGTGCAGTCAAACAGTACAGTCGAAGCTCAGCTGACCAAGAGATACCAATGTGTTATGAGTTGCGACCTGCACATGTACTTACCAGGACCTGTGCTTATCTGCTTAATGAGATAGCAGACACCACTAGACAGGTTATTTAAACTCTATAAGAATAAATAGTAAATATGTAATATTGAAACTGACTTCAATGTATTTTTACACATATGCAAATACAGTGTTCATTTTTACATTGTTTACAAGTAAAAACAGGTTTTTATTTGATATTTTTTTATAGGTTACATTGGCAGACTGGTTTCATTTCATGTGGGACCGATTTCGGGGGATCCGTAAAGATATAACACAACAGGCGTTGTGTTGTGCAGGTAAAGTATTTTTGAAATTAATGTTACTGTTTTTTTCCAATATGAAATTGTGGTAAGAGTATTTTGACAGTAGAGCTAAAATGAAATAAAGAAAAATGAACAATGCTAATTAATGATCAATAGTCTCCTCCGATTTCAAGCTATTTATTAAATAAATTATTATATTCATGTATAAATAGAATCATTCATCTATAAATATGAAAACCCCAAGTCAGTTTACGTAAAAAAACCTAAATGATTTTAGATTCAATCCGCCTGGTGGAGACTTGTGCCCGATTCCACGCACATTGCGCAGCTCGTCTTGCAGATTTAGAGCATACACAATTTGATCAGAAACTCAATACAGACAATCTCACCAAGTGCCTGCAGACCCTCAAACATATGTATGCCGATGTTGGACCCGAGTTGAAGCCAAGGGAGGCGGAGTTCAGGGGTTATATTGCTCTGTTGAATTTGGGAGACTCGAATTTCTGGTGGGAGGTTAGTCTTTACCTGTTTTTAAACAAAATTAACTTTTTATATCTCATAGTGACTGTGTTAATTTCTGTAAAGTATTAAATAAATCTAAATACTTATCTCAATAACTGTATTAGAAGTTATTCTTTGAGAATGAAAAGCTTATGAGAAATGAATGGCAAAGAGTTAAATCATTAAAAAAAAGTAGTATTGTTAATTTACAGAATAAACATATATTCATATTATATTACCAAGCGTAATATGCCCATTGAGCTATGGAGTGGGCTATGCTCAGTATTTCTCTAAGTGATTGTGTTCGTAACGAAGATATCGTCAGAACTAAGGTGTATCCTCATGTAGCAGAAATTAGTAAGCTAAGCTTTTAGTGAACGTCAAAAAAAGTACCACTAGTTCACTAAAAAAAAAATTACATCATCATCACATTTTTAAATAATTTTTAAAAAAATTACAAATAACTATAACTAAAGGATACCTGTCTACAGAAAGACATTCTGTGAATCTTCAAGGGGTAGTGTTCATTTATTGTCGCGATGGTAACGACACGCTGTATATGAGTAAATATGATTTCAATTTAGTGGAGTTTAAAAAGTAAATTATTGGTTGTAAACTAGCCTTACACAATATCTAGTATTTTATTTGGGTGCTCTACTTTTTCATCTTAAACAATAGTGATATGTCATTTGCAAACCTTTTGATTGATATTAGTGGCAGAATCGTCGAAAACCTTGCAGAAGACACTTATTTGTTACCTGTTTATCGAATTTACTTAATTAAAAATCATTGTCTTACTTACTGCAATCAACCTCAACGAAACATGAAAGCAGCAGTTCTGCCGAGTCATTGTTATTCTAACATTTTTATAGATTATTTAAAAATTACATTTTTTTATAGTAGAAAAACCATTACTAAACCATTTATATGTTTGTATTTCTTTAATAATTATATGCAAATATTTTTGTTTACAGATCAAGCAGTTACCAAAGGAGATTCAAAAATCGCCATCAATCACGTTTGCCATACAAGTGTTTACAGCATTGGATAACAATAACTATGTCAAGTTTTTCCGTCTCATCAATGAAAAAGCTACTTACCTCCAAGCATGCATTCTGTTGAGGTACTTCAATGATGTTAGAGCACGAGCACTTGCACGAATTGTTAAAGCCTACGCACCCAGAGGCGGTTCAAGATATCCAGCTAATGAAATGATGAGCGCCCTTGCTTTTGAATCTGTAGGAAGTATGAAGTCGTTTGTGAATCATTATGGTTTACGTTTTTCAAAGACGGAATCGGAATTAACAATAATACTAGACAGGAATCAGTTCATAGAGGACAGTGATCCATATCCACTTGCTCGAGCTGTGAAACTTATAGAATCTAAGAGACAAAGTACAGTTGGCGAAGTGATCGCGGGCGGTTCGATGTTAAGGGATAGCTATGACAATCACATTTTATATTCCAGTTTCAATAAAGATGGTAAACTAAAAGAAACTGCATTATTAGCTGAAGATCTAGGATATAATACTATCAATGATAGTAATAAAGACATAAATCTATTGAAAGCTGAAATTCAAAGGCTTAGTAGATGTGGAAGGAATAATGATAATGCTGAAAGTGCTAAAGATTCTATGAATAAAGCCTTTCGTGAAATTGTTTCTAAGATTCCAAATAAAAATTCTCTCATGACGCCCATAACAGATCCTAGTAATAAAAACAAGTCTTTCTCATTTCAACCTGCAATTGTTGTAGCTCCACCAGAAGTTATGAAAACTTTACCAGTCAACGAAACGAAGGGAATTTTTAGTTTTTCCAAGCCTCATCAGATATTTTCTGATTCAAATATAGCAAAGAAAAATCATGCTGAAAAAGCTTTTTTCTCATCAACAAATACAGCAGAACCAGGATCTCTATTTAGAGAATCAAAAAACAATATATTCAAACAAACAACTATTGGAAAGTCTTTATTTAAGCCATCCGAAAATAATAAAGACATTTTTAATGCTGGTGATACATCCAAAACTATATTCACGTTAAACAAACCAACTAGTTTTAACGATAAAGATGCAAGAGAAAACCACACAGCATTTAATAATAATATTCCCAAAACATTTGAGAATTCGACAGGACTTTCTAACAGTACCTCCTCAACTATTCCAAACACATTTTTGTTTGGAAAACTACCAAATAAACAACAAAATGAGTCCCAAAACACAACAAACATTTTCAAAACATTTAGTAAACCAATGATTACTAACAATAGCATATTTGGGTTGTCTGAAAATGTTGCTAAAAACAAACCAATAAATGCAGAAACTAAATTATCACCGAGCAGTTTATTCAAAAATGCTTGTCAACCTGAAAAGGTATTTTCTTTCTTTCCAAGTAAAAACAAAGCACAAACAGTTGCAGATAGCATATTTAAATCTGTACAGACAACAAGAGACGTTTATGAATTTCAAGAAGAAGATTCAATTAACCTTTTAAATGATCAGAAAGCCAATGAGGCTGAGGCTAAGTTGCTAGAAGTAAAGAAAAAGGAAGAAGAAACGATGTTAAAAATGCAGCAACAAGAGGAAATAAGGAGAAGAGAAGAAGAACTAAAGAAGTTAGAAAAGCAAAAGCAATTAGAAGAAATTAAGAAAAAAGAAGAAGAGAAAAAGCAAGAAGAACTTCGAATAAAGAAACTAGAACAAGAAAAAAAGGCTGAGTTGCAAAGAAAAGCTCTGGAAGAGGAGAGAATATTTAAAGAAAAGGTTGAAAGAGACTCACAGCAATGTCTAGCAGATCTTTTAGAAGAAACCAATAATGAGACTATTCAAGAGTTAATTAAGGAGGAACTGGAAAAACTTAAAACAATAGTATTGCATTCTCAAAATACTACAGACGAACTAATAATAGAGTTATGTCAAGATATTTGTATGTCTGAAATCAAAGCTGAAATTTTTTGGACTCAAAAGTTATTAAAAAAATGGTTTTATATTTGGAAAAAACAATTTCTAAGAAACAAAAAAAGACGAAACCTATTAGAAGATACACCAGTATGGTTAACTGATTACACACCCATAGAGGAAGCTAAATGTTTAAAGAGACTTGTAGAGATCTCAGCATTAAAAAATATGAATGCAATACATAAAGGTTATAAATTTTCAGGTGAATTAAATGAAATTCCCTCACCCGACCAATATAATATCATGGAAATAATTAGAAGTCCACTTTTGAAAAGAATGAAGCAAATTAATTATCCATATGACAAATGTTTCTTTTGGAAGGTAGCATTAGTTTCGACAATATCTTCACAATGGCTTTTAAGGAGAGTTAATATAGAAAATTGGTTACGGGCAGCACTTGGCGACAAAAATAAATCGGACAACAAAGACGGCTTAATTTACGTCAGACGACAATCGTGGAACTATCTCATGGACTTTGCTATATCTGTCAGTCTGACAAATAGGGAATTAAGATCAAGCTATAATGAAGCTTTAGAAGGAGCTAATGGGTTTTTGTTCTATGCCGATGAAAATATCTCCAACATGGTCGAAACAATACAAGACGTTATGAAAAGTAAATATCCATATCAAATTATCCCGGTTGCAGTTGTTATTCCTAAATTAGAAGACTCGTCTAGACTAAAAGTGGAAGAAAACCTGAACGACTTAGTAAACAACAACGTCATATCTGGATATAGACTTTTTATAGTAGAAAAGCAACATTTGAGTGAATCGCTGCATTCTTGCACTAAATGTGCTTTGAAATGGCTAGCGAGAAAATGTCCTAAAAATCCTTCCATCGAAATTGATTATCTGAAATCCATTTGTCAAAGGTATCTTGGTAACGAAATTTGGCACAAACTAAGATCTGAAGGTGATGCTAGAATGGCAAGTATTCAGCAGGATTTAAATAAACTAGTCAGCTGTTATAATGTGGCTGTTGATAAATTAACTGAGATTATAACTAATCAGGATTTATTTAACTATCCATCATTTCCGTTGGAGTTTAATCAATACCTGGACCATAATTCTCCATATCCAAAACCGTATGAGTTCATCCCAAGTAGCGTAAAACAGCCAGACAATATTTTTTCAATTAAAAGAATAATGCATTGTTTAAAATTAACAAACTCTGCCTCAAATTTTCGACCTTCAAATGCTATTGACATGCAGCAACAAATAAGTGGCTATTGCAAACAAATTGGCTGGTTTGATAACCCCGAAAAAATCGCGTCCAAAGTTGTCGCAATATTACCAAACAATTTTTTTGATGTGGGAATTTCATGTGACGAATTTAGTAAATTTTTTGAACAATACAACTTAATTGATTTCTTGAATATCGTGGTCTATGAGAAGATAAATAGTTTACATAATTTTGAGAACATATGTGCCATTTACGAAAAGGTTTGTTTAGAGGAATATCGCAATGTTAATTGGATATACGATATAGATGTTTTCACTGGAGTAAAACATAAAGCCGTTGATTGCGAAGATGATATCGATATTTTTATAAGTGCGAAGAGGCGGAAACTGGAATTAAGTAAAATGGAGTACCTTATCTTCGAAGAAAAAGATTGTACGTTAGTTGAGGAAAGCATAACAGCAGTGGATAATAGTATATCTTCATTCATTGATTGCAGTGAAGCTATGATACAGTTAGAGAAGCAACTTGAAGAGGAGAAGAAGAAATCCGATGAACTTGAAAATTTATTACGAGCGGCGTTATCTGATGTGTAAACGTCATTGTCCATATTTATTTTTTGTAATTTTCAATTGATTAAATATAAACTGAAACAGTTTGTTGTTTTATAAATTTAGCTTTCGTATATTTTGTATCCGCAAAACTCAAAAACTAGCCGATGCATCGATGTTCACATCATAGCTACTCTCCCAGATTTCACTTTTTTTTACTCTCCTAGATTTGAATCGTGTTATTAATCTATGGGTCGTAAATACTTATCTCGTGTTGGAACTGAAAATCGAAATCGCCGGCGCCAGAATAAATAGCAACTGCGCCACTGATACATGTGCATAGCGGAGAACTATTTTACTGTAAACAATATTTTATTTTGGCACGCAATTAGATCTGTTGTACGCAATTAATTGCTATGCCTAATAAATAAAAGTCAAGAATTAAGTTAAAACATAAAAAAAGCCCACTCACGCTTTTAATCTTATGGCAAATGTTCGTTAAGTTTTCATTGAAAATTTGGAACTGCTGTGAGCTGTGAAATTCACTGCAGTTTTCATTTCAGCATGATAATACGAATTGAGCCGATCCTGTTTTTTCTCAAATTGAGATTGGGCTGTCGTCTTTTGTAAGAGTAATTACTCCTACACCACAGAGTGCTTTCGTATATAAGGAAATGTTCTACACTGCGACCTTGATTACGTATTACCTTGTTCGCGATACAACTATAATATCTAGAGCATACATGTTGTGGACCATTATATTAATAATGTACTCTTTGTTGTGGACCCTGAATTATGGGGTCACATGTGGAAGCAAACAATCAAATGTCAGATTTCAGTTTCAAATTGAATTGATGAAGGCTGAATTTATTTAAATAGCGTGCCAAATGTAGATGCTTGATATGATCATCTCCAATTTTAGCTGTAGGGCCATCACAAAGCTCTTGTAATTTTACAATTCAGTTTATGGATACCAAAAAAAGTATTTTAAATAAGTAATTATGTTTAAGTTGGCATTGTGTAACGTCTAGCTCTAAAACTTATTTGACTCAAAGCTTTGTTTCGTTTTTCTACAGTATCAAGATATTTTCCCTATTATAGGAATTTTAGCCAAATGCTTACGCCGGACCCACCGCCGGGGGTCCCGCCGGATAACACTACACCCACAGCTAGTGTAACAACAAACACAATAGTTCGCCCTCGCCTCCGAGCACAGCGAGACCAACACAACGCGTACACAAGGTACACCCGCGTTTCAGGGCGGTTCTCACCGCCCCCAGCCACCGATTAGCTAAAAACACAGTCGACGGCCATCGGGGTCTCGGTCCGCACCGCAACTTCGATGGCCCTTAGATGACATGTCGCAGTTAAACGCACGCATGAGCACATGCGCGGCCCTACCCACAGCGGAGGGCCCAAACCCGTGGGTTCTGGCTAGCCCACCGGTTCTGCGTCAGATGAAGCTTTAATAGTCTCGGGACTGAAAGCAAAAAACATCAGTTAATACAAGATACAAGAAGCCAAATGCTGTGAAAACTAACTTCCATTTGATTAAAGGTAAAAATAATATTAATAATCTAAAGAATAGTGACAGACATAAACTAATAAGAAAACTAAACATTGTTTTTTATATAAACATATGCAACAAATGATTTATTATATTTGTCAGATTTGAATTTTACTTGAGAGATGTTATTTCTTTTTAAATGGTAATTGAGTACCCAACTGCACCAGGAGGAAGATTATGTTTTTCGAGAGTTCCATGTATGTATGTATGTATAATTGTTTGGAACGTCTGCAGCCTGAATGGCTTGATGGATAGTCTAAGAGGTGTCGTTAGATTCATATTTATTGAGAGAGTGACACTGGGTATATCCGAATATAAAATTACACAAACACAGTTTTTCAAATTATATTCTTTTATTTTGGTAATTATTACATCACAACTAATCAACATTATTTTTATTTTGTACAACATTAAGACACGCATCAGCAAACTCAGTAGAATATAGGCTCTGTCATATATTCTTGAATGAGTGAGTCTGGATCATAGGATTTGTCTAATGTTTTTAACATTTCTCGAACATGAGGATTTTCTAAACACTTTTTTAATTCCATTGATCCCTCTGAAACAAAATTTCAATGATAACCATTTATTAGATTAAATGTAAAAGAACAGGTATAATCAAAAATCAAAATTTGCAAGATTAAATATTATTATTATTATATACTTTATTGTACACCACAAAGAATTTGATATAATTAGTATAAAATAAGTCTTAAAAGTTAGCTACAATAATAAATACATGTGTATAAAGTTTTTTCGCATCTTTATTTTCATGGAAAAAATAACATGTTAACATTTCTGTAATGATATACATGAACTTGAATATTATTTTAAGTTTATTGACCTAGTAGTCTTAATTTGTCTAGTGGCACTGTGTCTTCTGTTGGATATTCATACTCATATGTACTTTTCTTTGTAACATCTGATTTATCAGTTTGTGGTGGAGTAGGGGCAGCGCATGGATTTTCTTTATGAATTTTATAACAGGCAACAGAACAACTAGAAGAAAAAGAGAAAGTTATCTAAGATCAGGCTTATCATTAGTTAAAAGTTTGTGAATATAAATGTAGCATGCATGTACTGAATATAATTAATTTGCATTTTTAGTTTTCCTTCTTTTAGTCTTATTACATAGCAATACTTACTAAGGTTGTCGACATGTCGGACATTTATATTTATAATTATTATCACAATGTGTACAATTCATTATAAGCTTTGTCAAACAGACTTAGTTTTAAAGAATTAAAAATTGTATCTAAATTAAAAAATAATACTCTTGAAGTTAGAACACATACATGTGAGTTTGACATTTAACATCAATTCAGACCAGACAGTGACTCTGAGTGCTACCAACTTTCGAAAATATTTGTCCCTAAAGTCAAAAGCCCCTAAAACCCCCTAGTAAAATAATATTATTAAAAAATTATAAATAGCGCAAAGATTTTTGCCTTATTTTCCACATAAATGGAATAATACAGTGAAGGACATTGGAGCAAAAATGTTGGTTTTATAAAAAATGCTTAATCTAAAATAGTATTTAGATTTAAAAGGAATTTAAGTTTATAAAAATTGTCTCTTATGATTTCTTTAATTTATCGTAATTTTAAAAATATGATATATTGAATTAATTGATGATAAAAATTTTTAAGTACTTTTGGTGTTCCCACGGTTCAACTGTATTCTGACTGCCAATTATACTCAGTGCGTAAATTATTTATGTTACACAGCATTTTCAGATATCCCAGGTAATTTAAGAAGTTCTATCCAAGACTCTACAAAATAAGCAGAAGATCTCGAAATATTTTTCCTAACGTAAAACGTCTTAATTACTTAAAAACTTTTTTGTCATCGCTTTTATTGCCTTTTGGCAACATACCTGTACAACAACCTTCACAAGAAATTCGACATATTTCATTGGGACCAATTTGCCTGTAAAAAAAAGATATACGAATATTAACTACAATTGAACTACCAGCAGACTGAAGACTTATAAAAAGGTCAGCATAATGCAAACCTCACCACGCACAGTAGACAAATAATACTATGCAAATTAATATCAATACACTCATATTTATAAAAAAACACACATACACTTCAATTGTTCTTGTATCTTGTATTAACTGAAGTTTTTGCTTTCAGTCCCGAGACTATTAAAGCTTCATCTGACGCAGAACCCAAGGGCTTGGGCCCTCCGCTGTGGGTAGGGCCGCGCATGTGCTTATGCATGCATTTAACTATGGTATGTCCTCTAAGGGCTATCGAGGTTGCGGTTCGGATCGGGACCCCGATGGCCGTCGACTGTGTTTTTAGCTGGCGGTGGCTGGGGGCGGTGAGAACCACTTTGAACGCTGGTGTACCTTGTGTACGCGTTGTGTTGGTCTCGCCGTGCTCGGAGGCGAGGGCGAACTATCGTGTTTGTTGTTACACTAGCTGTGGGTGTAGTGTTATCCGGCGGAATCTTCAATTGTTATTATGTTTATTGCAACTTACCTTGTTTAATTGATCCTAGACTAGCTAATCGGGAGTCCCCTTTGCGAGACAGTTTGCTAACGGTTGTGTTCAATATTGTTAAATGCTTTGTTTTTATAGTGTACACCTTGTTTAAATAAACTTTCTTATTATTATTTCTTTAAATTTTATATTGGTCAAGGACAGTGGCGAGTAGCCAGTACAAATACAGTCGCCAGTGGGTGGCACCGGATAAGTGGCTGTTTACACTACAGCAAGTTTATTCCATCTATTACCTATATCACAAAACATCAAGCGGACAGTGGAGAAAAAAGGGACTGTGCCTGCTAAGTGCATTATTATTTAATTGCATGGTAAGTTTGACTTTATTATATATCTTTATTCAAAAGTTATGTAGTTTAACATTTATGTATTTTTATCTCCATCCTCATAAATGTTTTTAGTTAGACACCACACTTACATTTATGAACCTAACGAAAACCAAACTTACTAATGCATACAAAAGTATCCCATTTTAACGGTAAACTATTATAACTAGGTACCTCTATAAGCCTTGACAATTTACTATTAAAGCCCTAATAGTTTAACTAATTATAATTACCTATTATCGGGAGTGTCTAATAGTCACTCCCGATAATATAATAATAGGTTCATCTATCTGTCCGACAATACTCTCAATAATTGTAAATGATTTTCGTTGAGGGCTTTCTGCAAGTTAAATAGAGGTAGCCTTAAATTAACACGAGCTAGAATAAAAATGAAAAGCACTCCTTACTTCTGTACTTTAATAATGCTCATACATATTTACAAACGAGATATAGTTATGTCACGACACACAACTCGTTTGAACATTTAAATAAAAAAACATAAGTTGTACATGTTAGCAATTTAAATTTACTCGATTGTACTTGAATGTTTCAATATGCACGTTAAGACTATCCAGTTACTGATTTAATTATTTACTAGTCACATGTTTAAGACGTTAGAAACAAAAATAATAAAACATGTCTAGGGCTAACGCCCTAGTTACCTACCTAGTTAGTTTATTTTACATTTTTTTTACCGGACGGATCGCTGGACGGAATGTTATTATTTAATATCTGTGTTATTTCATATTCATATCTGTTAAAATTATCTAGATATCATAACATTTAGTCAAAGGAATATGCTTTAAAAGAGAAAGACAAATAGAAATCTGTAATAATGCTATATTTCTTTCCAAAATTCAAAAATAAAACGGAAACAAATTTGCCAAATTATGGCACGCTCATAAAATCCGATCACATAGAATTATTCTAACATACTGTTTAAACATTCGTATCGTATGCGATTCGTTATTTACACAAAGTGTACACAGGCAGCTTCATACATGTTTTACATACAGGCATTTATAAAACTTACACTAGGGACGCATACACAAATAACGTAACACGCAAAATGCATCAGCAAATTAAAGCTAAACGCATGCGATGTTTCATGCCGTAAATTCGACGCGAACACTTGTTCTTAAATAAGGTACATTCACAGGTAAACGGGATTTTGTTTCGATAACGACGTTAATCGATTACTCGATGATTTTGTGTTATCTGTGGCCACGATGACACGTGTTACAGCTCCCCATGGTTGGTGGGTCTGTTGTCCGATATATAGTAGGAGGCATCTGGGGGCGTCGTGCCGGCGTCGGCCGCCGCAAGGGAGAGGTAGCGAGCCCTCAAATGGTGCGCCGAAGCTTTGGGCTGGCGCGAGCGCGTGAAAATGCCCTTCTTGTTCCCACCGACGCGGGTTATAGCTGGAAGAAATATATAAAATGACTACCGCATAATGTTGTCACTTTAATCTCGTTACATTCCCTTATTTTTCCCGCCCAACGCGGGATATACCTGGAAGAAATGTAGAGTAGATGATGAGTTGACCCGTGTGAAATTTTCGCCCAGTACCGTGGACAATCACAGAATGGTAATCAATTATCAATGATTATAATTTTGTTTTTTAAATAATGTTTATGAAATTGGAATGGCATATTCCACCAAAAAAGCCTAAATGAAATAAAAGTGTAACTTGCTAATTTTCATTTTCAAACGGTGTTGGAGTTAAGCGATATAATATTAATATTATATAATAACAATAAGCACGTTGGTGTACTTAACGATTATACGGAAACTGTCAAAATGTCGTCCTTTCCATTACACCCTATTTTTTGCCTATTTTAAAGACGTTTTAACGTTGAGTTTTTGAGTAGTTAACCTACGTCACTCACATAGGTTTTTATTAAAGAGAAAAAAAAAAGCAATATTCTTCAAATTCCAGTAGCTCTATAGGAACCACTTTACTCCATCCATCAGCATACTGTCCTTATTACACAGTGGGGTATGCACTGTGTATAACATTGCGTAGAGAAACCAAGACAATCACCCAGATCCGGAACAATAATCCGTAGGTCACACAAATACTTCTTCCGGGTGGGAATCGAACCCTCTTCCGGCGCAAGTCCCTCCGTTTACTACTCAGCACCTGTGGCTTATCATCTGTATCGATTATACGCACTTTGAGCGGTTTTGAAATCGGCGAAGTTCCAAATGAACTCGCCCACGAAGAAGCCGGCTTGCCGCAGTCTATCGAAAGCCTTAAAGTGCTCCGACATCAGCGCTACCTGGTACTCCTCAGACCACACGTACTCTGGGACCTAAAAGCCATAGACACATGTTCTAACAATCATTAGTCCATTTCCTTTCGATGACATGAACTGCTTGTTATGCGTTTATTTCACATAAATTGAATTCTTGTATACCTATATATTGAGAGCATTATTTATGTATAAATTTTTACCTCAAAAAATTCTGTTTGCGATACGAAATTAAAAAAAATGTGTTGTCTTATGTATTACGAAAAATGGCGTCCATTTCAATTTGAAATAACAGGGAAGTTTATTATTTAGTTGGTTTTATTATAATAAAAGGGAACGGAACACCTTTACGGAAAACTACATTAATGTTAGTTTTCCCACACACGTTTCCCAAGTTGTCTTTATTTTATAAGTAGTAAGCATTTCGTTATTTCTTACATTTACATTAGGCTGATCGTTTGAATGTAACGCTGATATGACCAAATACTGATAGGATTATTATGACAAAGGTTATATTATTAAAACATGTAGAAATGTTGAACATGTGTTCAATCTTAAGTGCAGAGATTAGCACCCCACATACCCCCAATCTACGAACTTTATCATCAAGTCACAAGTAGCCACTAATACTGAAGTTGAGTCTACAATCCTGTGCGCTGGAAACGATGGCCCGTTTTGATTCCTAATAGATATTTTTTTTATGTGAGCGAGCTGACGGCTTAGTGATAACCACCACCCATGGACATTTACAACACCCGTAAGGGTGCGGATGCCATCTTTTAATAAAGTGGGCCCCGGCTACCTCATTCACCAGACGGAACGTGGAAGTACAACACTTCCACATCACGCCGGTCTTCTGTGAGGTCGTGGTACTTCCCCGGACGGACCTGCCCATTCGTGCAACAGCGAACTGTTGCGTACTAGTGAAAATCCATATGAAGCGGGAACCCACCAAGTGCAGCCCGGCGATAGTGTCCGCGCCATACTCGGTCATGATGACAGGCTTGTTGTGCTTCAAGTGCCAGGCGGTGGCCTCGTCCACCACGTTGCCAGTGATGGCGGCGAGCTGGCCGGTGGCGTGGTACCAGCCGTTGTATCGGTTGAAGCTGATCACGTCCAGGTACTGAGCCTGAAATCGAATAATTAAAGTGAATGCAAGAGCTTAATCGATTCATTTATTAGATATTGTATCATTTTGATTCTATTAATAAAGGAATAGCGGGAGGAAATGTCTCGAAATTTGTATTACCTGACTCTCTTTGGATTAAGAGGATTAAGAGTTTTTAATGGATGTGTTTTCACTTAGTCCTCCCACTTAAAATATTATACCTTGATGTTTTTTTCTATCAGAACACTCTTTTGTTTTGTTTCGTTACAAGAAAAATGATAACGAAACATTACTTTTTAATGCTAAGATTTATACAAACGGTGCAGATGTCAGGAGTAGTATTACAATTTGTTTTGTACTAGTAACACAGTGTTATTGGCTGATGTTTTAAATGATCGCTTACGGATTTATCGGCGACGTAGCTTTGGGCGATGGCGATAGTAACAGGCCTCGATAAGTCCATGGATTTCACGTGTCTCACTACTTCACTGTAACCAACAAATTTAAAGATATTTTAATTTTTTATTTCTAAATAAAATTTTTGAAAAGTTTTTCACTACTGCCAATATTTATTTAGAACCTTCCGGATAACAAGTTGAAACTATAATTATGTTACTACTAGTGGACCGGGCAGACGTTGTCCTACACACGACAGATAATTTAAAAATTGTGAATCTAAAACATTCTCGAATCGACCTGAAGTCACACAAAAAGTTTTATTTAAATCGGTCCAGCCGTTTAGGAGGAGTTCACTGACATAGTAAATAGTGAATACATATAATTATAAAGATGTACAGTATTTCTAAAAATGGTTAAAGTAGGTACTATTACGGATTCAAACAAACTTCTCGAACGACATCGCGCGGCATGTGAAACGGGATTTTAGGTTTGGTTTCTATAAAAGCCATGACAAAATAAAAATATTTATCTATATCGATAACAATATAATATATAAATAAATAAATACGTGAAGCAAAAACTGTACCCCTTTTTACTAAAATTGCGCGCACGGAGGAGTATGAAATTTCCGACAATTACCTATAGTTTATATGAGGGAGTGCTGATTGTTAATATTTTTTTTAATTATGCACAAAAATACATTAAATGAATAAAGAAAACATTACACACACTAACATGTATTTGAAATTCACACACATATATACTCTTTTGTTTATTGTGTATTGTATTTGAATTAATACTGTTGAAAGTTATAATTTCAATGAATTATGGTCGAATTTCGACCGCTCGGCGTCCACTAGTCATAGTCTTCGGATTTCTCCATACAAACAATTATCAACAGTTATACCAATTTTTTTCCGCTTATCTTCATTCTACGGCGAAATATCATGAAACGTTGGCATACCCGAAGTAGGCGTCGGCGAGGCGGTTGGCGGACCTGGGCTCGTTGGAAACTGACCACATGACGACGCTGGGGTGGTTCTTGTCCCGTCGGATCAGCTCTGTCAGTGACTGCTTGTGTTTCGCCAGCAACGCGTCCGAGAACAAGCTGAGCGGACAAATGTTGTAGTCACAATGCGATTCAAATAAGAATAGGATTGACCTCGCGTTATCTTGTGACGTCATAGCTGTCAATTCAGACCAATTAGGTAGGGTGAACGAAACAGATATTTTTGAAATAATATTCAAGTATTTATAAATAAATTTTGTATTAAAAGCATGAAAGAAATAGATTATTTCCGAGTTAAAAGGTGCTGAACCAGAAATCATAAATAGAATACAATGATTCTCGTACGCTACAAGTGCGAGAATGGAACGATTTAAGGTTACGAAAAGTAACTTTCACATATTATAAATGTGATTTATCATTTACGTTCTACAACACAACTGCGCTCACTCGGTATCGACCCCTGGACACTCGTCTATGATCATGATTCCTTGCTCGTCGGCCAGCTGGTATATCTCCTCGGCGTACGGGTAGTGGGACGTGCGAAACACGTTTGCACCCACCCAGCGGATCAGATTGAAATTCTTCACCCACAGCACCGGATCCCAGCCCTTGCCTCGCAACTGAATCGACACCAAAAATACCGTAGAGCACAAAACGTATTCGTTATCCAAATATACGTATCTATGCAGCACAAAATATGTTCGGAATCAAAAACATCATGTATCCTGAGAATACAATCAGTATTCAAAATGTCAAGCAGCAGAAATATATTCCATATTCAAAATAATTCGTATTCGAAATGCCATACAGTATTAAATATGCTCAACATTCGATACCCACGTTGCTAAAAATGCATTCGTCATGATTGATTAAGCATTCTCATAGAAGAGACTCACATCTGAATCTTCATGCATGCCGAACCCTCTCAAGTACAACGGTTTGTCGTTGATGTAGACGGTCGTGTTGCTCCAAGTGACCGTCCTTATGCCAATTTTCTGGCTGTACGTGTCTATCGTTTCTCCACGGGCTCCAATTAAACTCGCCTAAAGAAAAAAAGCAATTGATATAAGAAAAGCGATTCATGAGTATGTATTATAGGATATTTTTACAATAGGTATACTAAATTAATAATATTAAGTAATACATTTTTACTATCACTTCCACCAAGAAAACGGGAAACTGTGTTAGCATAAATATCTAAATGTGATGCTATTGATGTTTTGTCGCTGCCGAACTTAGGAAACTAGAACAGCGTAACAGTAAAGCAGGTGTGGAATTAGCAGAATTAGCGAAATTAGCGAAAGAGCTTAGTGGCGGGGTCATCCCCGGCGCGTACAACAGTTAGTATTACTTCTTCTCACTTTTAATTGATAAATAATTAGTATTTTAAATTTGGATCGATCGTCCACTGTTGGTTTTAAGAAGGTGTTTACAGATAAACTTTCCTTAGGAGTTTATTAGTATTGAATACTTGCTTTAAATGTGTATAAGTAGCCGGGGTAGGGATGCATCAAGTATGGCCACCAGAAGTTTGCGTTCCCTATTTCTATGAGGCCGGCGCAGTCTTGGGAAGCTGCGACCTGAGAGTCGTTCTTGTCGTATATTTGCACTAGACATTCCACGTTGCCCGAACTCGGCCCTCTATGCGTAACGTTGTAGACGATAAAACCTAAAAAAAAAACATCTATTAGAATAAATGTGTTGTTGTGTATGTTAATTGAAATGGCTTGTACCTGGGTATAATGTCGTATATTTTAATATTATTATATTATTAGATTAGTAAGTACAATAATTTTATTATACATATTTATTTTGTTACTAATAATATCTGTAGTCTTACTAAGTAACTTTTAATCGTGAAATCAGTTGTCGAAATATTTTTGACTTAATATTTTTATTTCCATTTACATTAATATTTTCACCTACAGACCTATATGCTCAATAGCATTACATTATAAATTCATTATAATGTTAACAACTTAATGAACAAGACATGCGTCTGTTAAGATTACAGCTTACATGTGCCATAAGCATTGATTTTTATTACGCAGTTAAAATTGGAATTTGACTCTAACACGGCAAATAGGCCGCACCGTTAGATCTCACTGTACCAGTGTTATGCTGATATCATCTGGATCGCATTGTTGTCATGTAAATAGGTCCGCGATGAATGTTGCCATTCTATCGCCGCCCAACATGTATACGGCTGTTGGGCTTTGATAGGTTTATCGGTGCCATTAATCGTTGCCATAATGCTATTTTTGTCGGTTCTGTTAAATAAAAGCGCGGAAAAATCAATGGTTTATTATCTGTTTCGAGTTTTGTTTTTAACAGGTGTTATATTGTACTTTTTAATTCACGTACCTTTAGAAATGTAAACGTCGGTGTTAATGATAATTATCGTGGTATACTCTTAACGATTATTTTGTTTCCATGTATTTATTGTTAGGCAACGTGGCTTACAGGCCTTTAGAAATTGAAGTCATAATATTGAATGCCTTTATACCATTATAATTAATATCCATTTAAGTTTTTGGTAATAGTATATAAAAAATTACTTAAAATGAACTAATTATTACAAATTAGTACAAACAGTTTTTAGATTTACTATATTTTTTTATTATTCATTCATAAATCTTTGTAATTATAAATAATTTAAAATATTTGACGTGGATTGAAGTTATAAAACCAAGCTAAATGTTCATCGCGTTGCCTAGGAGTACTTGAGTACATTATGTTTCAACTAAAAAAATTGTGATCATAGGCCTATATCAATTGAAAATTCAAATTCAATTATAATATCTTATAATAAAACAGCAGTCTACGCATTACTCGGTAATACAATAGAATAAAAAGAAGACGATAAAAATCAATCTAAAGAGTAAATCGTGTGACTTTTCGAATCGTACCGGTCAATCCTTGTATGTCGGTATTTACGATGACGTCATCGATGTAAAGTTGCGGAGTTGAATACAGGAAAACGGTGCGATGTATGCCCGCGTAGTTGAAAAAGTCGAAAGTGTACGTCTGTTCCTGTCGCACTTTGTTGTTCCTGAAAACAAGAGGCCATTGAGATAGATACAATTAATATATATGGCAAATAAATAAATAAATATACTAAAATAAGAAAATTTAGATAAAGAACTCAAAACCGTGTTAAGACGTTCTTATTTCAAATTTATTAAAATAGTATGTAAGGGACCGACCTTGATGGTATTAATACTAAGCAAAGAAAAAAAAAACAAAGAATGCAAGGACGAGATAACAAATTAGAATGCACCTATATGTGACACGTGACGTGTTATTCAAACACATTAAGTGTGGCCTAACGACTGCATGACTGGAAATGTTGTCCATGTAATTGACCTTATCAAGGATGCGATGGATTAAATGGTCAAAGAGCTCAATGACTTGTTATTTAACGTTGTTATATTCGTCTTTTTGTGTCTGTGTAGCGTATTCAATAAATTTATCGTGTATAGGGCGCATCTTCGTTTTGTTGTAAAAAATTTCGAATGAAAATTATGCGTATATTCAAGGTGTGTTTCTGTAATGACACATCCTATAAATTTAAAAAGTTGTTTACAAATAGATCGGAATGCCCCTCTAATTCACATTGTCATACTCCGACATGGAATCACCTACTACGTATTTATATGGTGATATACCACATCACTGGAACAGATAAAAAAAGTTGAGAATTTTACTGACCAGAAACGGAATTAGGAATCTGTAATGATGTAGTATTAAGTTCTGCGTTCCAATACAGTATTTAATAAATTTTCGTTATCTGGATTTCTTTCGTGCAAGAAATCAGTGACTCGTTTGTCTACGATATACAGATACGGCTTGCTACATTTTGTTTTGAAATAAATAACTGGAGTGAAATGATTATAATACCATTCTCTTCTAGTGTTAAAATGAAATATTAAGGTTTGAAGCAATCATCACATCCAAATAGATCTAAAATGACAGGAATCACTTCCCATCAGGTAGGTACCGCTACCAGTTTGTGGATTTTTGATACGTACGGTCAGACTATTTGGCTTTACAACTTACCCGATGAACGTATCCTTGATGGTTCCTTGAGGGATGGTGTCGCTCAGCAGTGTGTTGTCCACTACCACCGTTAGCAAGTTGCTCGCGTTTTGGTGCACCACATCAGTTATTTCCACTTCGAAAGGTAGGTGACCTATTTCGTGATACTTCATCAGTTTTCCGTTTACCCACTAAAACGAAAAAAAAATTCTCATTTAACTTTTGAATTGTCGTATATGAATTTGTATTTAAATCATCTTGATATATTGATTGTAGTGGACAAAAGGAACTAACTGTGAGTATCTGTGTTTCACTGGCTCAGTACTACTACACACAGCTCCGAGCGTAGGCGCACGTCTTTACCATACCGCGTCTAATGCTAGACTGACAGACTGTCGCTACCCCCTCTACTGGTGTACATGAGACAATTTATTATATCTATTAAATAATTACAAACACTACATTGATGATTTCATTATATTTAATTTTATTTATAAGTATGAAGAAATAATCTAAATAAATTTAAGCGTGGTATGGGCAGGTCCGTCCGGGTAAGTAAGTCAAAACCAGGATAATTTTATTACCCAGGGATAATTTTATTAACGGGATAGTTTTATTACCCAGCTGACAGTAAATGGTCATACATCCCTGGTGGTTAAGCCACTGGGAAGCAACAAATTGCTTTTTCCCCACCTACGTGACAAACATTCACATAGTTTGTACCGTGGTAGGGCCACGCAGCAGCCTCGGCTGTTGCACGAATGGGCAGGCCCGTCCGGGTAAGTACCACGACCTCACAGAAGACCAGCGTAAAGTGGAAGTATGACAAATACTTTCGCGTTTCGTGTGGTGAGTGAGGTTGCCGGAGCCCAATTTTCAAAACGTCATCGCATCTGTAACCCTCGGGTGTGGCAGATGTCCATGGACGGCGGTATTCACTTAACATCAGGTGACCCGTCTGCTCGCTTGACAACATTTCACGTAAAAAAAAATGCAAAGGCGGATGTAGGCTGGTCATTATCTTAGGCCGTCATTACCTCGGGTTATCTTCAGCCTTTTCTTTATTTATTTTAGTCTGATCTACATAGATAGATATTTCTCAAGGTCTTTATGTCTTGGAGTGGCCTCCAGTGTTGGAGTGATTAGATTAGAATTTAGGAGTAATAGTAAATTTGCTGGCAGAAGTATTGCGTGACCAAATTATACTTGCCAACACAACATTCGGTAAAATAGTTTTAGTCACAAAGTAACAGATTGAATACAAGAAAACTGCATGGTGCTTATTATTTTTAATAACCGTAGTTTCGAACCCTTTAAAACATTTACAATCACAGAAAGACTAAGAAGTGTTATCAACTCAAATACCAAAGTCGAGTTAAACCGAAACACTTTTAACTGTTTTATTCCGTATATAGGGTGGCTTTTCTAAGTGTATCCATTTTTTTAATTAAATTCTAGACATAAATAATATTATATAATAAATGATAAATATTTAAAGTCACTCGTAAGTAATTGATTACATTTACTTGAACTTATCTCAAAAAGTGCGTGATTTATACGCAACTCATTTATTTCACGCACGATCATTCATAACTAATACGCACACAAGTTCGTGCACAGTAAACGTTCGGTTTTTTAGGGAATAGAATGGCATTTTGTTTTTGGAAAAAAAAACTTTGTATTTTATTTCAATAAACGATTATACTACCGAGTCTGAACCTCCTGTGTAAATTTGGGCACTTCTCAAAAAATCTCCCTGTATTGTATTGTCTGTCTTGCATTGTTTTTAGAATTAATTTTTATTTATATAATCCAAAGCCAGTTACGAACGTTTTTGGCGAAAACAACAATTTAAAAAATTGATATGTGAGGAACTTTGAAGGATAGTTTCTATTGCAGTAATAAAACGTCTATAAACATTTCATTAAAGTAATCTTAAGGTGATTCTTTACAGAAGCGTAAATGATTTTATTACCAATTGTGAAATAAATAAGAAAAACTTACACATATTTGTAATGTTAAAATGTTGTTCTTACTATCTATTAGGAACAAACAATCGTATGTACACACAAAACTTTAACCTCTATTACCTTATCGCGTTATTCAATTCTTGGCCTCTACTTATTATCAGAAGTGATGACTTGAAGTAATAGTAGTTTCATATGAATAATCGCAATGAGGTTTAATATTGACTAACATTCTTTAAGAGATAAGGTGACAATCACATGGCATCTACAACATTCCAAGCATTGAGATATTCGCGGAAAACAGAAACAGCTGAAGAATATTTCTATTTCATGTGACAAGGAAGAAAGGTGTTGTCTCGTTCACCTAAGGATAGCTAAAAAGCCCGTGGATTTGTAGACGCTTCGCCAATCTAAAAGACGCTAACCTAAGTAGACGGAACGGTGAAATACTATAGTTCCACTTCACGCCGACCTTTTGCGACAATTTGGTACTTTTTTGAATGAACATTTAGTGAAACAGAAAAGCTGCTGCGTAGATTTTTGTTAGTTATTTTATTAGTTAGTAACTAATAATTTACGTACTTAGATTGTACAATCATGACTCGGTGGCGCCGTTGTTAAACTATTAGCTTCGGCGACGGCGGTCGTGGGTTCGATTCCCACACGGGGCATGTAATTTTGTGACCCACAGATAGTTGTTCCGCATCTGGGTGTTTGTTTCCCCACAAGGGGTGACGTCAGGCAGGCTGATCGTAAAAAAACATAGTCAAAGCCGCTTACAACATGATTCAACGTTGCATCGACCCCACCTAGGTGGGATAAAAGCAGGAGGATAATGACTTATATTGTACAATTACTAAGTATCTAAATATATTTAAAGAATAGATAAAGAGATATTTCTTGGCTTGGATCTTTCGAAAGTATATTCTAATGTATCATTGTCAATCGGCGCAGAACGTACGTTCGTTAAAATAGTAGTAAATAAAAACAATGTTTCCTTTGCTTTGTTAGGTTATGAGATAATTTCTTTATCACGCAACGCATTCACACATACTCGCTTGATATTATTTTCTCATGAGATTACGCAAGGCGATGCCGCGATTCATTTTCTATACAAACATAGTTTTTAAGCGAAGCGGGGGTCGTTTTGTTTCATTTCCTCAACAGTATAGCATTCTGCGCGAATGTTCTGGCATTTTTATAACAAGATACTTCTAATAAACTTCAAGCTTGCGCTCGGGCGCGTTGTCTAGATTCTTTTGAGACTCGCTTTTCTGTTTTTTAAGCAATTTCAAGTGAACTTGGAAATTAAAATTTTCTCTCTTAACCGTTCATTCACAAAAAGTTTATGAATGAACCGTCGTTTTCCGCGGAATCCACAATGTGTAAAAAAATGTTGTACGTAACATACACTTACGCACGTTTTTGAAATACAATGATTAAATTCTTCAAATGAACCGAAAATAAGAAATTATAATTTACGATTATTTGAATAAGAACTTTTTTTTTCTAGAAAAGACGAAGCAGCCAATATTTTGCCACCACAACCATCTCTAGTCCCAAACTAAGCAACGCCTTTACTATGGGTACCAGATAACTGATAAACATACTTAAACATATTTTTTTGTAAACAAATACACTTTATACATATATTTACAACAAGACAATGGAAAAACACTATGTTCATTATAAAACCTTTTTCCAGTAGTGTGGATCGGACCCACACTGGGGCAAGAGGCAGGTTCACTACCCACTACGCCAATCGGGTACCTTTACTGTAATATTACATTATCCTGTGTTGTAACGACGTTGATGATCTAGGACTAACGAGGTTATTTAAAGATAAACCCGGCTTCTTGACAGCCTTTCTATCATATCAAAAATGATGCCTTTACGGAATTTAAGTCATTTTGAAAAACTGTGGACTACACACCGTTATACATCGTTGGAATCGATTTGTTTCGCGTTAGACGGAACGTTCTGTCTGTTCTGTTCCCGCCGTCGTCGTCGACTGTTGCGTGCATCAAATAAATCGTGTGTGCCCATTATAGGCGAGCATACGATTTAAATACGTTAGACGCGGGCAACCGCGAAATGATTTGTATTCGGATCTGAACGAGGCATTGTACCCGTCTCGATATCACAACAATGTCCCGTAAATTGCGCTTTACGATCGACTTGCAAATTCCGCTCGGGCCTAGTGTGGCGACGGTGCTGCCGCGAATGAGGAAGGTTGAAAACACGGCCGTACAGCTTAATACAATCCCCTAGGGATTCAAAGCTATGCCATTATCTAGTGTATATGCGTCAGTTATATCGCGACTATTATTGTAAGTGAACCAGCAAACCCGGCAAACATTGTTTTGCCATATAAATTATTTGTAGCGTAGAAAAAAATCTTTGGGGTGGACCATCTTTAACATTCAGGGGGATGAAAAATAGATGTTATCCGATTCACCACCCTGGCCGATACGAACACAAAATTTCATGAAAATCGGCCAAGCCGTTTCGGAGGAGTTCAATTACAAACATCGCGACACGAGAATTTTATATATTACATATTACGATTGTTCTCCATTTACTGTGTACGTATCTTAATTTGTCCCCAATGCATTTCTATACCATTCATCGATTGCGATTAAATTGTTACGTAAATAACCGATGAAGTATTTGGTATTGTTAATTACCGAAAAAAATTTAAGAATGTGCAGCGCACTCTAAAAAGGTTTTTTAATTGTTCACCGGCCAGTGCTTCACCGTTATCCAATATGATTTGATGTAGTCCTTGATGATAACCCACTAGTTCAGCCACCCATCCCCTTCTTGACATAATTATCTAATACTACGTTGGTATGTATACATTTTTGCACTTATATTTGTGTATGTGTATTGTATATATATATGCTATTTATATAAATAGTACCCGGCGGACCGAGCTTTGCTCGGTTTGCTTTTTTTGATAAATCGTGTATTTTGGAAATTACATTTAGACACAAATTACTGAGTAATGAAATATTCATAATATTTTTCGATCTTACCTATGTAATAATAATAATAAGAAAATATGAACTGATGTTTTTTCACAAAAGAAAGAACTTTAAAAAAAATGTAGTGGGGAAAAAATAACACCAAATAACAAATCGACAAAAAATTAAAAATAAAGAAAAGCAATATGATCTGGAATCGAAAAAAAGTACAATTAAAAAAAATAAATGTTTAAATGATCGTGACGCGAACCACGGCCGTCTGTTTTTGGGCTGCCCGATTACCGACCATATATATATATATACAGAATAATAAATAATAATAAATATATATATAAATATAAGAATTGCTCGTTTAAAGGATAAGATTAGTATAAGTCCATATTTACGTATATGTAATATCTTTGCATATTTATTATTCTTCTGTACGAGTGTAGGTATGTCACTGAACTCCTCCAAAATGGCTGGACCGATTTTAAAATTTTAGGTCGATTTGAGAATGGTTTAGATTCAATTTTTTTTTAAAGTTATCGGATTTAAGTCGCGTGTACAGGACAACGTCTGTTCGGTCAGTTTTATATAACATTACTAGCGACCCGCCTCGGCTTTGCACAAGTGCAATGTATGATACAAATAAACCTTCCTCGTGAATCACTCTATCTAGTAAAAAAATCATCAAGATCCGTTGCCTACTTTTAAAGATTTAAGCATACATAGGGACAGACAGACAGCGGGACGACTTTGTTTTATACTATGTAGTGATATTATTTTTAAACTACTTCCCATTTGGCTCTTTTGCACGTCCTTATTTTCTGTTATTATTTGTCGGTTGACTGATATAGAACTACTAATGGTGTTAAAGTACGCCAATGTAGGCTATTGTGCAAAAAGTTTTTAAATAAATATAAGTCTTCGTCAACTACTGGTAGCGATTGCTATTGAATTTACGATGTCAAATAATTTCTAACTGTAATAAATTTATAATTTGTTGTTTTGTATCAAAGTTATCTAGATGCCTTAAAGTTACTGACAGGTTTAACTGTGGTTAAAATAAGCGCAGTGAACGTAAAATAAATCCTGATAGTGTGTGTAGGTGGAAGAACTGGACGATCTGCGCGGAAAAAATCGCTCGGGATTGCGGGTGTATAAAGTATAATATGACTGGTTGAAACCGAATAGTACATGAGCATTGATGTCTCATCCTTTTGAGAAAATTCTAGCTTCCGTTTACCTAACTACCCTCGGTCAGGTTAGGTTAAGCCTTCGTCCATTTCTGGATAACACAACTGTTTTTTCTTCAAATAAAAACATTACCCTGGAGTAAAACTGTGCTATATTTTAGAGGTTTATATTTAATATTAAAAATGTCAATAAAATCCTATCAGGAATATTATGCGGAATGTACCATAGACCCCAGGGCCCAGGCCCCAAAGCTTACTTAGCCGATCCGTAAAATTGTCCTCTTTGAAATAAAATAGGCTAGGCAGATAATGTATCAATGGTTAAATGAGGTTTAAACCTTAGAGGTTTAATTAATGTTTTGATATTTTGTAGTAAAGATAGCTTCGATGGAAGAATAAAAGATGACCTTAATTTTATTGTCTTTTTCAACCGAATTCAAAAACGGAAGAGGTTCTCAATTCGACTGTTTACCTCACAACTTTCGACTGAGTGAAGAGATTTTGATGATTCTTTTATTGTTTGAAAGCTGGTGCTTCCCATGTGGTCCCATATTAATTTAATTGGTATTGGATCTTGGGCTCTGGAGATGCTTAGGGAACTCCTTAAAATCAATTATAAAATGAATAAAGAGCGAGATATTTTTTTAGGACACATTCTTTTTACACAACATTCTCTAGTCCCAAACTAAGCAATGCTTGTACTATGGGCACTAGAAAACTGATAGACATACTTAAACATACTTTTCTTTTGTAAATAAATACACATTATACATATATAACACCCAGACACTAGAAAAACACTATGCTCATCACACAATATTTTTCCAGTAGTGGGGATCGAACCCACACCCTCTGGCGCAGAAGGCAGGTACACTACCGACTACGCCATTCGGGTCGTCAAATTTGAAGTAGGTTTTGTTTAATTTTTATAAAAATATGGACTTGTTAACATATTCCGTGCAACATATAGTGTATTTCTTTCGTACACGGCAGGCAGACTCGAAAGCAGCGTGGAATAAAAACGATTACGTCACATCACAGTCAAGCGCACGCAGTATGTCCCGGGTCATCTGTTATCGTCCGATCCGTGGGTCAGGCGGGAGCGGGTCGCGAGACCGGTCACGTTCGGCAAATTGTCCAATTACACCGCAATTGCCTAGTGACGGACGAATGACGCGGACACCACGAGCGCGATCTACATACTCGTTCGGAGCGGTTGCAAGGGATTTATGCTGCCCTGGTACTTCGAGATGCCTATAAGGTTTATTTATTAGGTACATGGAAATGTACCATGTCGTAGACCGACCACAGTGGACCGTTATTATTTTAAAAAATAGCAATATTTAATTGTGCATTCCAAATTAGAATTATACTACTTGACCAGTGCGAAATGTTCGCATAGTACCGTGATCAGTCACCGAATGGTAATAAAATATAGTGTGTAAATAAATAGTAACCAATGAAAGGTAGCATATTTTGAAGAACAAATTGTCAATAGATGGCTTTATCATACATACATTCTTTATAAAAAGTTTTAAAAACATTAACTTTATTCTACTTGTCTATTTTTTGTTAGTAGCGACAAACATGTGTTTTAAACTGGTGCTTGAATCATTTAATTTCATGAATAATTGGAAGTTATGGCGTTCCAACAAAAACACTTTTAAGAAATAGTCCATGTGAAATTTATATTTGTAAAAAAGCATAGGATTTTTATTATCCTACACTGAGGGCAATGTTTTTTAAAAAAAATAAAAATAATATATAGAGATTGTATGATTTCTCTAATATTTTATAACTGAGATTTATAAATCGACACCCTTTAACTAGTATTAAGTAGACCGTTTGTTAATTCAATTTTGAATTCTTATTTTGATTTTTTTTAAGTCTCGCCTATCTGAAATTTAAAATAAAATGGATTTTCATAAAAAGTGCCCAACATACAGAAGTGGCAGTTCTTGCGCGTGTAAGTACACAGATAAATGCACTCTTTTTTAATAGATAGGAAGTAAGAAAGATATATTGATGTAGCATCCAATTAATGAGGTTTTCAATCAATGCAATAAACTAAAACAAAATTATTGCTCTATGGTACGTGCGCTAAAAGCACTAACTTTAAATAAGGATTTTGTGATTAATCAACAGTGCGATATTTTTTTAATCAAGCGACTTCAAAAAAAGGAGGAGTTCTCACTTTTGACGAAGGAATGAGAACATAAAAAAAATTATTCACCGGATCATCGTCCGCGCAGTCAGCGTCAATAACACATCAGTGTACAAGCGTAAAAATATTCATCACTCATCATGGGTGTAAATATTTTCTACAATACTGTCTGGCCATTTTAATTTCGGTCGGTTCATTGCAGGCTGCTTTTTTATGCAGAAAAGGGGCAAACGAGTAGGAGGCTCACCTGACGGTAAGTGATTACCGCCGCCATGAACACCTGCAACACCCGAGGGCTTACAAATGCGTTGCCGGAATTAACAAATGCTCTCGTTACTGTGTCGTTACTTATTACTACGAGATAGTTTGAATGTTTCCCACTCACCACTTGCGCGGCGTAATGCACGCTGCTGAAGCGGAGCCACACTCGCTGGCCGTCTCGCAGCCACCAGGGCGGCACGTGGAACCGCCGGTCGTACCACACCGGCCCCACGTGGTCCCTCAGGGAGCCGTCTTCGCCCACGTCGTTGTACGACGACGGCACCGGCATGGGTATCACCGGACCAGTCTGTGTGATTTCTATGATTACTGACACATATACGCGATTACTAAACATTTTTTTAAGTTTATTAGGTACTGAACTGAATACAGTCTAGCATGACTACAAATAAATATACAGGAATAAAATGATTGCATTCTATACATAGCAAACACAGTATACATAATACTTTTTCACGAATTCTGTTGCGTTTTATGTTTTTTCCCGAAGTTGCGGACAATTTACTTGAGCGCGGTTGGATGGATGTTACTTGCTTTTAGTTTTGTGTACTTTGTCGACGATCCCTCACGATCTTCATGTTTACCAAAAATGAAAGTATTGGTCACTTTATGCGTTATACAACTGATCATATACGTGATTAACTTTCAATTTGTTGATAGAAATCAATTGAGGCCTCGGTGGCGCCGTTGCTAACCCATTCTAAGGCTTCGGCGTCGGGGGACGTGGGTTCGATTCCCACACAGGACAAGTATTTGTGGGACCCACAGATTATTGATTTGGGTGTTTGGTTCCCAAAGAGGATTGACGTCAGGTAGGCGGCCGGTCGTGAAAGAACCTAGCCAAAACCACTTACAACATGATTCACTTACATTTTGTGCCGACCCCACCTAGGTGGGATAAGGACAGGAGGATGGATGACGGTGATGATGATAGAAATTAATTCCAATATTACTGTCCTGTGTTGTTAGCAAAATAAATGTCCGGTAAAGTAGTGGTTGGACCTAAACTAAGTAAATTATTAACCCGATTAGCGGTCTTTTCTTGGCTAACTTAAAAGAAGTAGTGACAGATTATGTACTGCTATTATTCCGAAGAGGATTTTGTCCATAGTCACGGAATTGTCGATGTCATTTTATTAAATGCATTTAACGGTAACTTGATTGATGGCTGACGTCATTTAATTGTAAGTGTTGAATGAATTAATTCCCACCGCCTACTCACAATCGTCGTGAAGAAAAGAAAAGAGGACAGATGTTACATACAAAAGTCACGGGTAACGGCTTTCATAGCTAAATTATGTTAGGCCACTGTGCTTATAACGCCAGGCAACCAATAGTCTTATTAACCTTTTAAAGTATTATTTATAAATATTTTTCTTATTAGTTATATACCAGACCGATGAAAAAGTTTTTCTGTTTATTTATGTATGTGCGCTTTGTTAATGCTTTTGCATGCCCTACAGCTTGAAGTTTTTGCTAGATATCAACATTATGAGTTGTCAACAGATTATACTCAGTTATGGGACGAACATACGGTACATTATTGGTACATTACGGTTATTTTCATTACAATTAATGCAGTCGATTTTAAATTAATCTATAATTAACAAAAAAAAAAAACAATGTTTATATGTTTTTTTTTTTCATTCTTTCGGGTTGGTCGATACCCTAATATTCTCAAACTGTTAGAGTATGGAAATAAATTACGTAAATGTCATCGACTGAAGTTCTGGTCTGGCATTAATTTTTACTACTAAATCGATGTAAGCTTCTTTCAAAAGCAGTACTGTTAATGAAGAGACGAAAATGAGTCCGCATAACGTTATTAAAACAATGAGCTTTTTCGATGCCCCGTGATCGCTATACGATAACGTTGACGGCAACATGATGATGCGCAATATAATAATAGATTTAAATCGGTGTTCGATTTTGCAAATTCATTTCGACGCCATCTTGATATGTCAAATGAGAAATGCAT